GATGGAACAACCATCTGCATTTCTGAATGATGTTCCCATTAGGACACATAGAAGAATTTTTTAATGATTCACTGTCAAGAAAATTGATCAATGGATATAAAAATTAAACAGATGGAAAATATGTAATGTGTATTGAAGTAGTATAGATGGGATGGAAGAACAATCTTTCGAAAGATATATTTATTTGTGTAAAATTTTCAAACATCAATCATAGATTCAACGATTGTTCGTTTTCTTTTCGTTTCATTTCTTATTGGAAAAATATAAATGAACGAATCATTTGAATATTTTGAGCATTCGCATTTATTTTCTTCTCGTTCACTTTTGAAAAAATAAATCCATTGTATTCTTCTTAATTTCTATTCAATATTATTTTCTGATACTCTCTCGAAATATCCCTCATATTAATATTTTAAACGAATGATATCAAAGATTTATCTAAGAGCTATTGACGAGTTTTTGCATTTGTCTCGAAAGTTTGCATCGATTTTTGAAAGTATTTTTTTCATCGAATATGCCACTGCGTCGTAATGATTCTTCTTCTATTTTGAGGAACAAGATGATTCAATTAAAATTTATCATAATTCGTAGATATTGACAGCTGTTTCACTATTCCATAATTATTTCTCTCTTTAGCAATAAAGATTGTAGAAGAAAAAGTTTTGTACTTTAAATTTCATTTCAAAAGAAGTTTCAGAATGAAATTTTTTAGTGGGAGAAATTCTATGATCGAATTTGACGATAGTAGTTAAACTATTTAGATAATTAGCATTTCTGTAAACTTGTTTTTTTTTCTATTCAATTCTAATTCATAATAAAAAGATTCTCATTTTTCTTCGATAGACAAAATTTGATAAATAATCTATCAAACTTTGTCAAATGTCAACGAAAATGTTCCTATATATTGATGTAATGAGATTCACAATGAGTTTCTTTTTTCAAGATATTCAATCGAGATATTTTAACATTTTCTTAATTTCTCTTAAAGATTCTTGAATGGTTAATGTGAACTATTTTATTTGTTTCTCTATATTTATCTTCAATGAAATTCTATTGAAATATGTTAATCAATCTTTTGTAAACATTTGAAAAAGAAATAATCATTTCAATACTTTTATGTTTCGAAATGATTTTATTTTACTTTATGAATTCTCAATTGAAGTTTTAACTTCAATCGATCTTCCATTGATATCTTAAAGAAAAGATGTTAGTAGAAGATTTAATTTATTCATCGATTCAAATCAAGAATAAAAAAAAAATATCAGAAGAAGAGTATTGCCTTTCCTTTCCAATTGAAATTGACTTAAATTTAATAAAAAGTGAGACTATTTTCGAATTGTTTTATTACTCAATGTGTAAATGTTCTTCCTATTCAAAAAACAACCGTAACGTTGAATTCATTAAAATGATTTGATTTGGAAAATTCCTTTTAGACGAATAAAAATATTCGAGGATGATTCTTATTTTAACATTCATTAGACTTTCAAGAATAATTTCTATTTTTTAAATTCAATGATAAATTTGTTTATTCTGATTTTAGTTGAAATATTCACGGTTAGGAGTTAATCATCCGAAATGAATAAAAGTCAATGTTCTTCTTGTTATCGAAAGTTAAATTTTTATTATTGAAAATGATTAGAAAAAAATCTATGAATAAATAGAAGATTTTCGAAATCGTTTTATTCTCATTGAAGATTCGTTAAACGATTTGAGTTTTGAAAATGTCGAAAATCTTCATATAAGTGAAAAATTGTTCTGATCTATGGTGATATGAAAATTAACTTTCGATCATTTTTCAATCCAATCTTTAGTAGAGAATGAATATAAACTTGTAGGAATTTCGTGATCTGAAATGTTTCAATAGTGAAACTTTTTCTTAAAAGGAAATTCGGAATGAAACTTCACAACGTTGAATATGATTGTGTGTCTCTTAAAGTCACTCTAATCTATGAATGAATTAATTCAGATCGATTAATGTGAAAGAGAAAAATTGCGATTGAATGACAAATAATAGTCGATAGATTTGTTGAAGAATTTCTGTTCTTCTATATTCTTAGTTCACTATACTCACAGTTGGGTTGTTGTTGTCGTTCTGCTCGAATATAGATAACTTGATTCCAATCAATTTGATCATTATCAGCAATGACGCTTTTAGTTGCATCTTTTTCAATAAATGGTTTAAGCATTTGTTGGATTTCATTGAGTTTTTTTCTGAGTCGATCAATATCATTTTCAATAAAATTATCTTCTTCTCGACGATAATGAATTTCTTTTGTGATTGGTTCAAGTTGTTTTATTATTGTTATTCTTTGTTTCTCAATTACTTCGATAAGTTGATGATGAGCTTTTTCTGCTGCTTTTTCGACTTTATTGATTGTTGCTCTTTTCCATTGTTCAATTTGATCAAAAAGATCCAATGCCAAAGAATTTGATTTTTCTAATTTTTGAATTTGACCAAGAAGTTCATCATGAGAACTTACTATTTCACTGTCAAATTTCATCGATAGTTGTTGTTCATGTTCTTTGAAATCCTTTGAACAAAAATAATTTTGACATCCAATACAAAAGCATCTTGCTGAAGGTTTATTACAGATTGAACATAACCTTGAATCATTTACTGCTGCCATTTGTCTTAGAAAAAAATCACTCGGAATAGTATATAACTTATTATGAAAATATCTCGATCTAAAATAAATTCATATAAATATTTATAAAGTGATTTACTCAAAGTATTCTTCCTTTATGATTCGAATTAAATTTCGTTCAACTATTTAAAATATGATTTTATCTGTATGTGATAAAAATTTCATTCTTATCTAAATAAACATTCAAAGTTTCTCATTATTGCAGAAATATCTCTTTTTAAAAACAGAAAGCTACTACATATTGTGATAGTGTTCTTGAGATTTTCTATCATTCAATAAGTTAATCTATTGTCTTGAAATGATTTGTCAAACAATAATTCGAGTATCACATAGATCTTTCTGTTTGACCAATCCTTAAAAAATCGAAGTTTTTATTTCAAATATATACGATGATAGAGAATGTGAAGCATTATTAACACATCTTCAACATTTAAATGCAAGATAAGATAAAAACGATGTATAGAACAATAGGAAATTCCTGTGGAGAATATCAGCACTTATCAATAAGGAGTATGTTCCTTCTATTCAAATTCTTTTTTGTCAAGAAATGAGCCCAAGACAACCGATAAATATATTCGATGATACAAAATTTCAAGCGCTCTCAGGACATGCAATTACTTTTTTTCTACAAAGATATTTCTACAATGATAAAAATTTTATGAAGTCTATTTTGATGACAATTAGGGCTAGCGCTTTCACTTTCTTTTTATTTCCAGAAAGCAAAAGGAAAGTTGAAATCTTTCATATTTCTAAAAATGAACATTATCGGTATTATCGACAACAGGGAGAGTAAAACAATCATTTTAATATCAATAGCTCTAATGGATCTTCTTTTCCTCATGCTTTTCTCCTCAGTTTAAGCTACCTTCCGAATACCGGTGTACCATATCTGTCCGTTTCAGCCTTTAACTAATTTTTTTTCATGTTTGCATGCTGCTTTATCACATATTATGCTTGATTTCAAAGGTTTTTACCTTCCTTCTTATGGCAAGAAAAAAGTATTAAGCATGATTCTGGTTCCGATTCCAAACAATTTTTGAATGTTTGCCAATAAAAGAGATCGATTAGGAAAAAAAATTTGTTTTCTTTTTGTATCGATTGTTTCTATATAAATTTCATTCAATTTCGAACTAATCTAGAGAACCAGAAAACTACGACACATGCGAATTGATCATGTCGTTTCCAAAACACAATATATTGGAAGACGTCGAGTATCTCCGTAATACAAATCTATTAGAATCTTCCAAAAATCACCTTCCCGCTCAGAAAAATTTCATTACATTCTTCGACCTAGCTTTATCTATCGCGTAGTCCAAGGTCTACTTTATAAAATCACGAAGGTCGTAGATTCTTTCATTTTCCGGCTAGAATAGTGGACTAAAGGCGTTGTAGCCCCCATAACCATACTTCTTTTGCTTGATCCAGCTCGAATTTGCAAGAAAAACATAGATTTTATCATATACTGAATCTCGTTGCAACGCTTGTTTTCTTCTCTATAGAGACCAAATATCAACTAGTAAAGATGATCATAATAGTTGATCTCCGGCTTCTTTTGCCCTTCGATGTGACAATCGTGAGTTATCAAATTCCAGCATAGGCAGATGAGATGTTCATCTACAAGAAGGTATTCGAAAATCAAACTTGATTTTTTAGGTGGTTTTAAGAAGTCTATTGATCGTTAAATGTAACAATCGATTCTTCTCTCGTGACAGTTTAAAGGTACGTCTTACAAGCTTGTCTTAATAATCTTTTCCTGCTGGCATTTGATCTCTATAGAGAAGAAAACAAACGTTGCAACAAGATTCAGCATATGATAAAACCTATGTTTTTCTTGCAAATTCGAACTGAGTTAAGCGAAAAAGTGCTCCATTGACAGTTCGCTTTTCAATGTGTTTAAAAAAAACAGCATGAATAGTCGAGAGTCAAGATTTGAAACTAAAACTCGATACTATTTCATCTGCTATATTTTTCTCAACGATATCTCGGTTGTTTATCTTATCTTTGTTCACTTTGAAATTATGAATAAACAAAAAGACAATCATCTCTAAAACTATTTGTTGATAATAGTAAGCCATGCGTGATATTACCGATAGTATATTTTTATCAAAAGTCTAAGATAAGATTAATTTTCGTCGCATTTACATATCAGTTGAAATCTACTGATAATCATGAACTAGATATAGAAACAGCTCAAGAAATATAGGAGACAGTATCAGACCAAGTGAATATAAATAAGTCTTGAGGTCGAGAAATTCGAAGAATAAGAGAGATAAATCAAGAAACAATACAGAAATCTAAGAGTGTGAGTTTGAGATGTGTCTATTTATCTGACGAAGAACACAAGTTGTGGGTAATTTGAATATTAAGACTCACACCTATCCGTAAAACAAAGAGCGGCTCGAGACCTACACTCACACCCATACCCACTTGTCTATTTTTGGTAATTGTAGAAGAAATGTCATTGATGAATCGTTTTTTTTTGTAAGAGAATTTTTCATCGAAAGAAACTGTTTCGATTTTAGAAATGTATAATTCGGCTGATTACGTGTTATCTTTGAAATATGAATATGTACGAATGAACTTTCTATCTTTCGTTTCAATAGAGAGTATCGTTCATGTATCTGTTGTACTGAATTAGGATGCATATTTAACAATACTGATTGAAGATGTATAAGAACTCCTGTATTCACTATGTTTGTTCTTTTCTTTGAGAATAATGGAAACTGAGATCTTCGGAAACTCCTCACCAAATTATTCGATGTTCGGTTGGCAGAATACAGAGAAATATCTTCTCAAGTTTACAGAAAACTATGAGAAACAACTATATACATATATATATATATTTGAATCATACTCGAAGTATTTTCTGAGTTAGTCAGGCGGATATTTGATTCCAAATTGTATAGAAACTGTTCTCATGCATATTCGATTCCATTGTGTACAAATAAGTCGATGTTCATTCATCTATAGAGAACTTATTCGTGGATTTTCTCGAATTCATTTTATCAATTATTAGATTTTATTTGAATTCTTTGTCAAAGATTTTTTTTTTCTAATGGTTGACATATTTCTTCGAGAGATAGCAAAGATTCGTGATATAGTCACTAATCGATTTGATTATTTTCTTTAGCTCATCACTGATTGTTAGCTAACAAGTATAATTTCATTCAATCAAGTATTCATCATCTTTACTTAACATATAATACTAATGAAAAAAAAAAAGATCAACATGCACCATTTTATTTCTTAATATTAAGTAGTAACAAATCACATAATACTTTATATTGTGTTCAAGTTTTTCTATTTAACACTTGATTGTAAGTGAAATAAGTAGTAAGTGGGAAAACTTGAACTTAATATAAAATTTTATAGTGATTCGTTAATATTTAATATCAAGAAATCAATTGGTGCCTGCTGATATTCTTTTACTAATCTTAAGAATTAAGTAGCAAATCTTAACTTAATTTAAAGTTAAAGTAAATGGTTCATCTCTACAACAGACGATGACTGGGCTTCAAAAAATCAATCATTTCTATGTATTAATTACTTACTCATCATTCGATGAATGATTTGTTTTGATGTTTCATGCGAAAGATATGCGTGAGAAGTGACGAGTTGTACAAAAAGAAACAGAATAAAATCAAATGATACCCACGTTTGTTTTCTTACGAAGGAAAAAGAAATAGAAGACAAAAGAAAAAAGCTTTGTTCGTCTCGAATAAGGCGCGTGCAACTCAAAATTTTCATACAATTGTTTATCACTTTTTTATGCATGATTGGATAGAGCACATGGAGTTACGTAGAAAAAGCATCTCTCCAATTTTTATCAGTCGGTTTTTCAGAAAATCACGATTGTTAGATTTCATCATAAAATATGTTTATTTTCTTGTTCCATATAAGTAGAAATTTTTTGTCGTTTTAAGACATATTGTTGAGTAGGAAAAACAGTAATGTATATAAATCATTTGTTTTTTTTTAGTCAATAATGTATCTCGAAACTAAAAAAAAAAAAAAACTTCTACAGCTATACAGAATGAAAAATTATTCTATTCATGGTTGTATATTGCATTTGTCTCTCCGAAATATTTATTGTAAAAGTGAAGATAAGAAATAAATTTTAAAAGTTTCATATCTATTCACAAACTGTTTTAATTACAATTTTGAATTTGAATAAAACAATTAATTCGACTAGTCGGATATTATTGTTAGATATCTTCGTATGTTTTTATATTTTGTATACGAGAAATGATATGTAAGTTAGGTTTTTCGATGAAAATTATTCACTAGAATTCTTGAGATTTTTTTCAAATGATTCATTCGAAGAAAGAAATGTAATTTTGTTAAAAGGATCTTATAATTATAGATTAAAGGAAAAAATAATTTGGACTTTACTATTTCATAGAAATATGACAAAGTTTTCCTAATCAAAATGTATATTAACTTGTTTTAGATATGAACTATTTCCTTTGGCTGATGATTTCAAATCATTTATAAGCAAAGAATAAATAAAATAGACGAACATTTGATAGAGATCGATTGATCGACAAATAAATTCAAGAATGAAATTCTGTATGGAAGTGAGAACAATTGAATTAACTTCAGAATGACGGATTCAGGTCGAATGACAATAAAATTTCTGATAAATTCAATTAGATAAAGAAGAAAAACAAATAAATCGAGAATTCTTTAATGATGATTTAGTAAAAAAAAAATCTTAGTTCCGAAGAATAATTCATTTTTTAACATGAATAAACATAAAGTCGAAAGCCACATATTATATGTTATTAACAAACAAACAAAAAGGTTCAATTCGATTGTCAACAAATTCAATCATAATGACGACATGCTTTCATGATCATGTTCGAAACATATTATAGCTACGAGAAGGCTTCTAAGTACATTTGTTAGTCATTAGATAGTGCTGAAAATTGAAATCATACCTTTCTCAAGATTTTCGCTTTCCAAGTAGACTCGACTTAGTT